ATCGGTAAAGGAAGAAGAATTGGTCAATCTCTATACATCTCTATACATCCTTCCATCTTCGCGTTCAGGAGAGCTCGCTTGAATATATCCACGAATCTCTCTGCCTGGTCAGTCGATTGTGGGGGAAACGGCGCTGAGCGGATGTGCAGGACAGCTCATTGTCTACAGCACTCCGTGAAAAGTGCCGGGGTGTACTGTGTGACGTTATCAGTTACAAGTGTCGTTATCAGTACAGTGTCTCTGAACAACCGAATTTGGCGAAGATTTGCCGTAGTTTCGTGACAGTGGCTTGGGTCGATGTGCTGTTCATCAGGAACACATCAGGTCATTTGCTGTAAGTGTCGACAGCAATGAGAAAACTTTGGCCATTGATTGGTCCTACGAAATCAATGTGGACGCTGCACCATGGTCGCGTTGGTTTCGGCCATGAATGAAATTCCGTCTTTACTAGTGCCACTGAAGCTGCAGCCTACTTGTGATAACTTTTAGCCATTTTTTCTAATCCTCTGTCCATGAATGGCCAGTACACAAAGCTTCGGGCAAGCGCCTTCATCCGGTTGACCCCAAGATGTCCAACATGGAACTGCCTAAGGACGAGGTTTGGTAGTGCGTATGGGATGATAACACGTACCGTGAACAATATGCAGTCGTCCAGGATGGAGATTGCATGCCTCCTTTGTTGGTACTGCTACAATTCAGCTCACGAACATGTGCGTGGCTAACTGATCCAGCTGTATTCTGTGGCTATCTTAAGTCCCGGGTCAAGAAGCGTTTCAGCTTGTACAGCTTTTGTAGTCACGGATAGGTCACATAATGCGTCACACGAGAAACCTGACGTCCGGTACAAGCTCAACTGCGGGTATGGTTTGCTCTTCTTCGTCTTGCTGATTGGAGTCTATGTGGCGTGACAGTGCGTCCGCTTGGCCTATGGAAGCGGTTGTTTGGTAGCTGATCTCAAAATCATGGCTCAGCATGGTGCGCACCCAGCGTTGGAGACGGTTAGGCATGTAGGCAGGGATGCCCTTCTTCGAGCTGAAGATGGCCAGCAATAATTTGTGATCAGTCAGTAGTTTGAATCTGCGACAATATAGCATCTTATGCATTTTCTTCAATCCAAAGATTATGGCTAATGCTTCCTTTTCAATCTGGCTGTAGTTTCACTCGGCTATTGTCAAAGTTCTCGCAGCTTGAGGGACCGCTTTCTGGGATGCATTCGAGTACAAATATGAAATGATCGCTCCGATCCCGTGATTTGATGCGTCTGTTGCGAGAATGATCTGAGTTGGGTCGTAATGGGTTAGCCAGAAGCCTGAGACCAGTAATGAGTTGGTAGGTTCAAAAGTTTGTTGGCACTCTCGTGTCCAGTTCCAGGAGTGGTTTTTGCTCAGGAGCTTGTTCATCGGGGCAAACAGGCGATGCAACTCAGGTAAAAATACGCTGCAGAGACTGACGTGACCACAGAAGAAACCTAGCGATTGAACATCTGTTGGTGGACGCATCTTTCTTATGGTTTCGATGTTTGGCCGATATGGTCGACGGCCATTCTTTTCAAGGATAAAATCAAGGTATTTAATGGTTGGAGTGAATAAGTACATTTGTCTTCACGAATTAGGAAACCATAAGACTGGATACGACCAAGCACGTCCTCCAAGCGGTCAAATGATTCCTCCGTTGTTCAGCCCATTACGATAATATCATCCACATATGCAGCGGCTCCAGGAACTCCTACCAACACGGTATCCACCAGCTGTTGGAAAGTTGCTGGGGACCTTTTTATGCCAAAAGGCAAACGATCATACTGGTACAGTCCATGGTGCGTGTTGATCGTCAATAGCTCTTTCGAGCCCGCGGCAACATATACCTGAAGGTATGTATCAGAGAGCTAAAGCTTGGCAAAGAACCTGACACCGTTCAATTTTGCGAACATGTCTTCCGGTAATGGCAATGGGTATTAGTGGTCGTCGAGCTCAGCGTTGAGACCTGTTGAGAAATCTGCGCAGAGGAGTACTTTACCATTTGCTTTCGTTACTGCGACAATGGCTGCGGCCTATGAGGCGTAGTTTGCAGGTGTGATGACACCAGTTCGTTCTAATCACTCCAGCTCTTGCTCAACGACCGGCATCACTGCATACGGAACAGGATGTGTAGCTTAAAAGACTGGCTTGAATCCTGGTCGCATGGACAGCGTCGCCGTGAATTTAGTGCAATGGTCTAGGCCATCCTGAAACACAGGGACCAGTTTTCCTTTCAGCAGACGGGTCGTCACTTCGTTGATGCGCCTGCATTCGCTCGAATTCTTTCGCAAGTCTGATTCAATGAAACATCGAACAGGCGCAACTTTTCAATCCAGTTTAGCCCAAGTAGGTTCAAGTTGGACCTAACTGACATGTAAACCGCCCCAGTCTCTTCCACACTGTTAAATGCCGTTGTGCAGGTAATTTCAGCGATTTGATTGAGCACACCTTCGGATGCGTTATGGGCTATTCCGTGAAATTTGATCATCGTTGGCCTCTTTATATGATGCTAAGTATTCTTGGAAATGACCGATGTCTGAGGCCGTGTCATATTACAGCTTTGTTGGGAAACCGTTAATTAGCACAATAATAAATCGTCGCCGTGGCTTAGGTTCACTTAGAAATGTGCAATTACTGAAAGCGATTCTGCACCAAGCTTTCGATAGTTCTTCGAATGGTAGGCACTTTTCTCAGATGTGACATTTCAAAGGGCGGAAACGCCAAAAATGCTATTCGCCGTACTATTAGTAGGCTGTAGGTGGCTTGTTCGGGGCCCTTTTGAACGGTTTGCTTTGGCTAGCATTCCCAGCATTTTCCACAGCGTGAACGGCATCGGATGGTGCAGTGCGACACTGTTCGATCAGGGCGGTGTTGTGCTTCAAATTGAGCAATCACATGCATTCGCCGACAAGAACCTTTAGTGTCAAATGTGGGTCGTGATCAGGTTTAGCAAGAAGCTTCCTGCGAATCTCAGCATCACAAAGTGATTGCAGAGGACTAACGAAACTGAGACACTTAAATTGGTTGTCCGTCAAAGATCGTGGCCTAAAGCGCTAAAATTTGTGACTGACAACGTCAGCCAACGCCCCCTAACCGTTCTGTTCCTGTTTAACAATCTTTAGGCATTGAAAATGATTGCTGAACTGAAAAGCTGACTCATCAAATATTTCATTGAGCTGTGACATTGCTATGTCGAAAGTCAGGTCTTTTGGTTGTTTGGGCAGAATATGGTCAGTGAATCTGGATTTATTCATGTTTGTTCGATTCTATTTTCACGAAAGCTGACCTTCCTTTGATTTCCATGGTATTCAGTGACTCAATGCACATTCGTAAATTACTACTTACACACAGATTACCACAGGGAGAATAAGTGCAATTGGTTTGTCTTTTCGCAGACCGATTGAAACTACAAGAGGTATTTTTGTTTCGAGTATGCTTGATCCAGTGTCCGAGCTATTGACAGAAATTAAGATGGTTTAGAACTATGCACTCGCTGTCTGGAACTTTCACGAATATTTCTACCACATGGATGCGTGAAAGTAAGCCTTAGGTTAAATTCGGTGAAAACAAAATTTTTTCACTACCTCGTGGTTAAACTCAAGAGGTCCACGTTTTGGGGTTAGTACGATGTTCAATTGAGTAAAGGACCATAAAGGGGGCGCGAAAACCTGTGTGGTGAAACGGTGACAACGTAACTAAGATACTTTAGCTTTACATACGCACTCCATACCTAACCTGGTCTCCAACAATCTGCATGCGATATCGACGCGCTGCTTCTGAGCATCGCTGCAGTGGCTGACAATGTTAATAATATGGCGGAGAATACGAACGCTCGCACCAGGAAAGCTCTGAATCCCATAAGAAGAAAGGATTACACAGGTAATGACTGGTATGATAATTATACACTAATTACATCCGCCGTTAAGTTTAAATTAGGAACGTTTATTATCGCAGATACGAGACACGCCTGTCAGCGCATGACTGGATAAGTGCTTATCTTATAGAACCTTGACCGTAGGTGGATCAGGAAAGTTGAACATCAGACCAGCTAACACCGTTTGGAAGGTCAACAAAGTCAAAATACATGATGAGCTGAATTAAAAGGTAGTTTGCCTGTTTTTAACAGATCTCTCACATAACTAAGTATAAAATACCTGACATGTATTGGGTCATCTGAAACCTGCAACCTGCTCGTACCCTTGGCTTGCAGCCATAGTGCAAGCAAACACTGATCAGACTCCGTACAGTCAGGAACTTGTTGGTGCTGTCGCGAATGTCGTGTTTAAACGCCATACTTTCTGTCGTTTAATAAACATTGGCCCAATCGTCCCCACATGTACAGCATTAGGTTGCTGAAATACAATGCTTCACCCGAGAGAATAGAGGAGAAGTATGTTCATCTAGTAGGGAGTCCAATCCGTTATGTCGCAGTGTCTTTAAACGGATATATATATATATATATATATATATATATATACTGCAACACTGTCACCGAAACATTTGCTGTGACGGGATGAATCTGAACCACGCAGTTTGCACCACATGGAGTTTGTTCGACAAGCTAGCGTGAAAGCAAGTATTGTGCGAAATAGCATTTTAATTTTGAAGAACATAAATCCTATCTTTATATGGTAGAAAATGCTCTAGCTATTGCTGATATGTTGGCTTTTTAGCCTCTCTCCGTAAACATAAGTGTGTGTTGGTGATTGTAAAACTTCCTATCCCCACATCCCGGGTCTTAACCGTCAACTAGTAACTCAGATTTGTTCTAGTTATCTGAAGAAAGGTTGTTAGGTGGATTTTCTCCAGTGTTTGAAAGATAGAAGCCAACAAAACCGATAGTACGGAGGTAAATGACAATGAGGAAGAAGACTAAATTTTAACGGTGTCCGTGATGACAATGGGACTACTGACGATGACGTATTCCGACAAGATGTGTTGTTGCTCGAAGCAGTGCGAATGTATCAGGTCCGACCAAGTACTTACCGATCCATTCATGTAATCATTTTGAGGCCGTACAGCAACACATTGATTCTCTGGGGTCCATTTCTGTGGTGCCGGACATTCACATAAACGCCGACGGTAGCGAGTACAACTGGATCGGATGCAAGAACTCCAGGTACCCCATTCGCACCAGTTTCCTGGACGCATTTCACGTTTGCACGATTCCAACCGAACAAATAATTCGGAGTTGATAATGGGCAAAATTTGCAACAGCCGGAACCAAACGGTACTTAAGAATAGGGACCACATTAATTGCCGTGTCGGATGCGGACGGACAAGGAGTGGTCACGTGGGTTTCGGTTAGACTACTAAAAATTGATTTGTTCAAAACTAGCAAATTCGATATTTGGGTCCGCATCCACATACAAATGAATTGGCACGTGCCCAAGCTGTGATGATGAGGATTGGTGGATGGATTGCATATCTCTCGTATTGGGTACCAGCGCACGTACAAGATAATTCAAAATTAAAAAGGCTAATGTTTTATATATTAACTCTAACTTACTTCTCTTGGACAAAACAAAGAAAAATGAACAATGGGTTATGCCGGGTAATAAAGCAGTTGCTTGACATGCCCCGCAGAATGGTGGGGATAAAAGTACAATTAGCAAAAGATAGCTGATCTGTCTGCTTAAGGGTTTATCTAACAGATACGCTGCTGAATAATAGTACGGCGAGTGTGAATGAAATGCGAACGACGAGGCAAAATGGGGACAGTTAGAATTAATGTTGGAAGTTTGTGAGTAGGGTAAAGTTTGTAGAAAGCAGAAGTCACGATTAAAATTCACGCACAATAATATGCCTCGACGGGGAGTCGAACCCGGTCCACGAATTTCCGGTCCGCTGCTCTACCACCTGAGCTACCGAGGGCTGACGATTAGGTGCGCAAATTTTAACACATGACTTCTGCTTGGTGCGCGACGTATTGCCGGAAATTCGTGGACCGGGGTTCGACTCCCCGTCGAGGCATATTATTGTGCGTGAATTTTAATCGTGACTTCTACTTTCTACAAACAGTTAGAATTTTTGTCCTCCTTGAGCAAGTACAAACGAGAATATTCACTTCCGTACCATCTCCTGAGATTTATGTAGCATGCTAATCCGGTTTGAATAGATAATTAATATATTCCAAATTTGCACAGGTTAGGTAACGAAGTGACGGGAGCCGAGGGCAAGCTCCATTTGTTTTTCGAAAATATCCAGTTTGGGGAGGAAACAACGAAGTTTGGGAGAGAGTTGCAGGGTTGGTAATCCCGAAGAGAAAAATAATTCTGACGGCATTCCAGGCGGCTAAACTGTGCACACAATTTCAGACTGTTACCTCTGAGATTGGTTTTATGGCTGAGTTTTAGCAACTGACGGCATACGTGATTTGGGTCACTCAATAGTTGGTAGACTAATATGAGATCGCCGCACAGCCTTTGGTAGCGGCCATTGAAAACTCCAAGTGACTTCAGCCTTTGATGCTAAGACAGATTTTGTAGGCCTTTGACAGTCTTTGTGGCCCTGCTTTGGGGTTTCTCTTGCACTTCTAAGTCGCGCTTCAACCAAGGTTGCTGAGCATGGATGACGTATTCAACGTGAGGGTGCACGTAAGAAATGTGCATCATGGGAAGATGGATAGTTGGAATCTTCCGAATGCTCTCCCTAGCAAGCCGATGTGCTGGTTCGCTCTCTTCGCAGCTGCCTCTGACTGTTTTGAACAGTTAATGTTATCTTGAATGAACACACCAAGGTCGCGTTCTTCGGAGGTGGTTTGTAATACATGTGACCTAAGCCCATACACGTAGGCATGTCTATGGCGCAATTGAATAGCGTGACATTTTTCCACATTGACCGGTAGGGTATTCAAAACTGACTAGTTTGAAATCGTGTTGATGTCATGCTGGAGCTTTCGTGGTCGTTCAGTTCTCTGATCGCTCGCCATAACTCGATCTCATCCGCGAAAAATAGAACATCGGAGATAATTTCCCTCACCAGATCGTTTATGAAAATCAAGAATAGACGGGGCCCGAGCACCGCGCCTTGTGGTACACTGCACTCCACCTTAATAGCGTCGAACAGGGATTATCGTACTCTCACTTCCAACCGATGTTGGTGCAGGAAATTGCCTATCCAACGCAGAAGTGGGTCGCCAACGCCAGAGAACGGAAGTTTGTGGAAGAGAATCCGGTGGTCCAAGCGAGCAAACACTTTTGAGAAGTCAACTCCTGCTCCACCATCAACTGATTCAGTCCAGCTATTACGTGCAATTAGCAGGTTCGTAGTGCACGAGCGCTTTGTCGGAAGCCATGTTGCTCTGGTGCTATCATCTCGTGATTTTCCATATTCTGCATGAATGCATCAACGATGCTAGACTCCATAACCTTGGAAAGCACAGGGTGTAGCGTTATAGGACGGTAAGTAGTTGGATCAGTGCGATTACCTCCCCTATGAATAGGAGTGATGACCCCGCGCTTCCATACTGCTGCAATCTGGTTCTCCTCCATACAGCGCTGATAGAATATAGCCAGACGTTCCGCCAGATCACTGGTTGCTGCCTGTAAAGTCTTCGGCCGAATGTTATTGACACAAAGAGAGCTGTGGATACGCAGCGAAAACAGTTTCTTTGGCACACTTTCTGCAGTAAAAGTAATAGTGGATAGGGCTGATAGTGGGACAATAGAACCAGGGATACCCGTTGGGCCCGTTACTGTCTGAAACGTTTGTGATTAAGTGAACCGTAGGAGATCGGCTACTTCCGTTGCTGATCGCGTGCACCTGTCAGTCGTGATCAGTGCTGAAATTCCGCGTTGCAGCTGTCGAAGATCATTAACATGCCAGTATAAGAGTTTGTGGTTCTTGCAGAATCTCTTCATTAACTCCTGCTGATGCGTCACTTAGTCCTCGCGGAGCAAGCTCACACAGTAGTAACGCTGTGTCATGTGGGCAGTCCAGGTTTCGGAATTGGGGAGTCCTTGGAAGCTCTCCATGCTAAATCCCTCAAGGACATGCATTTTCGTGTCCTGCTCCTCAGAAATGACTTCCTTCTCCGTTGACGGTGAAAAAATTTCTGCTCAGACGCGTGCGTTAGCAGTGTGGTAAATGTCCTTGTGAAATTGTCCTAGACGATTTCTGGGTGACATACAGTTAAGAAGGTTCAACATAACTTTTTAACAAGCGCGGATAACACTTAGTGCGTGACGGTATTCACTTTATTATCCTCTTCCTCACGATATTCCGCATAACCTACCTAGATAAACAGTAGAGTCACATTGTCATTGCGACCCAGTGATGTGCTTGTAATTATGCAATTGATCGCTCACGTGGTTGTTCTCAAGGCCAATAACTTAGAGTTAAGATCTTTTGGAGTGTCTGACGATCCTGCTCATAGATTCTGGCTGCAATCTGTTCAAGATGCAAAACAATCTTCGTGCGTTGGTAAAGGAATATTATAAAATATCCCATCGTAAGAGGGTTGCATTACTTGTGCATCTTCGAGGGTGTTCGTTTGAGGCATGTATGCACCTGTATTGAATTCGTTTACTCATATGGATTATAGCTCCTGCTGTAGGATGAATGAGACCGTTAATTGTTGTTGAATAATTTGTGTCATGGTAGGCTGCATATTCAAACTGCACGGAGACAAAATACCAAGCGAAATTAAAGCATAGAGTCAAACGTGATTAAACAACTTTGTCAAGTACACCGTAAATGTTTCTCTTGTCGAGTATAGGAAGTACATAGGTTAGTGTAAATGTAAATACTAAGCTTATGTTTAAAGACGAGGGCGCAGTGATTACCACAATCAAGCAACAGCGACACATTCATATAAAGGAAGAGGAACAATCCACTACATACTAATTGCAAAGTTGAGTCGTAGAAGAAATGCGTACATTGTGGCAGAAGCAAGTGATAAAGGGGTAGCAAATCCTTGAATGTCACTTTGTTTTTGGCAGAAAATCTCAAGATACAACTTGAGCCGACACTGCATAAACCACAGGGGCTACTCGCATGTAAACGGATGGTTTCTTGATATCTATGAGACTACCAGAAAGGGATTTGCATTTCCAACCAGGAGTGCTTGCTGTTCACACTGTTCGTAGGCGTATTATTACTCAATACTACCACTATAATCACTATTTTATCCCACGTGGCACAATGGTTTATGACGGGTCAAAAGCATAGCCTTAACATGTCCCTCAGGTTGGTAATGGAAGGAATTGAAAACTCGAGTACTAACTATGTGGACCAAATAAAATTTGTACAGATGAAGTCAGGGAGTAATGACACAAAAATAAGGTACCGGGAATGAGATGCTAAAGAACGACAAGTTGTCATGGGTAGTGTGTATAGCAAATAACAAACAGCTTGCTCACCCACCCGCGTGCGTTACTGTAGGTTGTAAGTCCAAAGACTAATTATGCAGAGTAAATCCCATAATATCCGTTCATGTGACAAAGTGTAGGGTGCTAAATGCGATATACAATGTTTTTTTTGAAAAGAGCTAAGATAGGGGTACAGGAAACCGAGTTTGCAAGACCGTTTCATGGTTGGCACACCCGGAGGGAAAAGTAAGTTCCTCGGCAATCCAGTCGACTGTATTGTTGACTCCGTTTCAAACAATTTCCTCTCAGGTTGTTGTTCGATTTGTTCCAAAAAGTGGCAGCTTACATAACTGGAACCGCTCAGTATTTTGTATACTAATATGAAGTCTCTAAGAATCAGCATATTTCTGACCCAGAAGAGATTATCAAGTGGTTCAGCACACTAAAACGCTTACACTTTTCACGATATGCAATCAGAATACAGCTGATGAGGTCGGTTGCAGATGTACTAGTCAATAAGCTGCCATACTCAAAGCTATCAGTAAGATTAATATTTGAGCAACTTTAAGCATTAAAACGACACCATTTACAAAGATCATATCCTGCTGTCATAATGGAAGAGAAAAGAAAGCTGACGGTCCAATTGGTATGGCTCAGATTTGGCCAAATGTTGCCGTTCACTCGCCAAAGTCAGGTCTACGGGATTCCTAAGCTCATTGAATAGAACCTCTCGGTAGCGTAAGGGCGCAAAACGCAATCAGAATGGGCCAAGCACTGCAAATGTTGCGTTCATTCTGAACACTCGCCAATTGTCCGACCACCCGTCGCGAGGCTATCAGGTTCATCCCCAGTTTATGGGGCATGTGATACGAAGACCGATGAAGACGACTAGGGCTGTACACCCTGTCGTATCGTCGGTTTAGAGTTGATCTCATTATGGCG